TTCCCTAGCAGAATTCAGTGCACAGATTTCGTCACTGGAGAACTTGCAAAGTAACTGTGAGTTCGTTTGAGCTGCATGTCTCCCATGCATTCCCTAGAGCAGTGCTTTCCAGCTGAGCTCTGACTCTTGGCCACACAAATTAGAAATCGAGAAACAAATGTTCTTGGTCAGAACAGTTGCCTTGTGGCCAGCAGAGGTTGGGAATTACTGTTCTATAGCTGCCAGCTGCTTGAGAAGCATAAAAAAGGGGGCAAATGGAACATATGAATGTTACTTGGAGGAGGCTACTTAATGAGAAGAAAATTCATGGGATTATTTTTGTCCTGCCTTAAATAATTTATCCTAAATGATACTTAATACTTGTTTGCTTCATGCAAAAAGTGTTAGCAACATTAATATGCTGCAGTATACTTGCTGTCTTAAATTTTACAATGTAACTAATTTTTTTTTTATCTGGCAAAAGGATAAAAATGTCACAGTAGAAAAAAATGACAGAATTGGACTCAGGGCATGAAATGTTTCCATATGAAATAGTTTCATGCGTGTCATTCATCATAGCCTGTTCTATGCTATTTATTTATTTTATTGGTTTCTAAGAATAGTTGCAATTACTTTCGTTTGTTCTGCTCTAGCTGGTGATAATGCCAGTGCATTCAACAGCACAGTCATATGTTTCCATAGCTACAACACAAACTTGAGCTACTGCTCAAACCTGAAATAATATTAGATATGTAGTAGATTATGATTTGGGAGCCAAATTCTTCTCCTTTCCTACAGTGTGATTCAAACCTCTGTGAAGCTGAATTTTTGCTTTGACTTGTAGGTGTGTAGGATGAAGCATCTACAAGAACGGGAAATGTTATGGTATAAATGACAACAGGTCCTGCTATAGGACCTGGAAACTCGGAGTTCTTGTCCAAGAACTGCTGTTCACCTCAGGCTGCTTAATATTTATATGCCTCTTTTATTCTACCTATAAAAACAAGTAAGCTTTTTAAAACATTTAATATCTTTGTACATTCACCAAAGTCACGGCATTGTATTAATCACTGACTTGTGGCAGAGCTGAGCCTTAGGCTTTAACTATTCAGAGCGGCTTAAAAGCTTTCCTGCAGGCTAATTGCTTTTCTCCTCCTAAGAAGCTGTGTTTAGATTAAAAAAAAAAAAAAACTGTATCTTTTAAAATTATAAAAATCAAAAAGTTTTAGTGGTAGTCTAATAAAAGAAGTATGTTTATTTTTATGAGATTATGAAGTAGAAGCAGAAACAAATGTCCTTGGATTTATTCTTACTCAGCATAAATATGGGTGCCAAATGCTGTTAAGTTGTTCAAAGTAATCTCTGCCTTTCCACAGCACTGTTTTAAACAACAGTTGTCTTCACAGATAAGTTGTCCATGCTCGTCTTGACTGGTATATCTGTTTTATTTAATGATTAGGAGTCCGTGTCTGTGGACGCTTTGTGTTCCAGCCTGACAAAGTTCTTACAGATTATTCAGGTGATAGGCTGCTGTGTTCTGAGTGTTGGGTTTTGTGTGTTTGGTTTTGAAGAGTCGAGAAAAGTGTAACCACTTCTTAAGTTGATAGCCAGAAAGTGAAAGGTGTCAGTAATAAAATAGAATCAGCTCTATTTCAGTAAATGCAATGCATTACCACCTGTCTGTGGTACATGATGCCTTATGCACTGCCCTGGGTTTCTTTCTGTTCTCAAATGATATATAACTGCAGACATGCAAATGTTTTTTCTGTGGAAATTGAGACTTTAGTATTTTATTAAAAGAAAATAAAGCATGGGCAATTTTTGTGGATATTTATGCAGAGCAAGTGAAGAATGATTGAAATAAGACAGTAGGCCTGGTCTCAGTACTTGGTGTTGATAAGCACTAGATTTGATGCTGATAGTGCCTCCTCCAGACCTAGTTCTAGACCTCCGTGCTCTTAGATTGTTGTCCTAGAGGAAGAGTAGATCACATGGACCTAGTGGCCAGCAGTCAACTCAAGCTGGAGGACACCGGAGGGTTACCTGTTCCCCTGCCCACGTCTCCAACACTGATTTTTATGACAAAGTTGGTGTTTGAGGGTAGTGTTATCAGTGAAGAAGCTTTTTTTGTTATATGTCATGTGATATGCAAGACATCTTCCTCTTCCTCAGTCACCAGATAGGATATTATTATCTAGCCTTGAATATTTATAGTTCTAAATAAATTATTTAGCAGTACTTAGCTCTAGAACTATTTTTAGTGAGAACTAGATTGTACTCAAATTCTAGGAATTGAATTTAAGATATGAATTTTATTACAATCCATTTGTATAATTTTCAAAATATATAGCTATTTTCATTAGTGCAGACCTACGTAGCAGTGGTAGAAAGTGGTATAAGATATTGTTAGGTGCATGTCATGCAACAGGATTAATCTTTGCAGCTACACTGGCTGGTCTAAACAGAAGAGTGTTGGGAAGAGTTAGAGTATATTAAAGAATATTGACAGTATCAGTCAAAATCTAAGTCCCTGACAGTAGTTGTAGGTTGACGTTTTTCATTGCTTACCTCTGCCTTTTTAATTTTTTAATGCATTTTTTCATACATTGCTGCATTGCCTCATGGAATAAGAAATACATCCTACTCAGTATGCCTGGGCGTGAACAGTGCTTCTAGTTGTGTGGTTTGATTTCAGTTCTGTGGAGTGTAATTGGAGTGTATGTGTTGCTGCTTTAGCTACGGTGGTAGTTCAATGTGGATTGTCTCAGTGGAAGACAGTTGGCCTCCTTTTCTGTATTTCAGAGTAAAAGGTAATTAAAATGCTCTATTTTATTTTCAGACAATGCTAATGAGGAAGAGTTGGAAAAGATCAAGTAAGGTAACTTTTAGCATGTGGTCTTATGGCCTTTTTTTTTTTTTTTTCTAGTTTTCAGTGTTTTACCAAATGTTTTTCTAGGAAATTTGTGCCACAGAGTTATGTTCTCTTGAACTGTGTTTTATTTGCTTTGTATGACAGTTTAGAAGAAGCATTAATGTAATGTTTAAATCTCTGAACTTTGTAGCATTTTAGCCTATCTTGAGTCATCCAACAACTTCAATTAATAAAAGGGTAAAGATATCCTAATTCTTTTACAAATACCTTTATCTGTCATTTATAAACAGTTTATTTTAAGCCTACTTCCTAACTCCTCATGTCAACATAAGGAATTATTGACAGATGGTAACTCTGGCTTTCCAATTACTTTGTGTGTGTGAAAGTTTTCAGACTTGTTCTCAAGAATAATTTTCCTGGATTTTTCTTCTCCGGATGTGAATCTAGAATATTCTGCTTTTCCAAGAGTAAAGTGCGTACGAAATCCACCTTTGACTCCAGCCTTTGATTTTGGACAGGTCTGTAGATGCATCTAGAGGAGCATTCACTGTCTCACTGTAAAGTGTGTGTATTTCTTCCTAGTGAGATGAGACTGGACAGTTGACTGAGGTAGAATACAGTTCGGTTTTTACCTATTTCTTGTGTGCATTTCAGAGAAAATAATGAATATGTTTTCGGGATTTTTTTTTTCCTAATGCTGCCATGCTGCTTTTGGGTTGTGAGCCTTCTTACCATTTGCGTAAGTAAAAATAGCATTCAGTTATCTCAAAGATTGACTCTTTTTTTTTTTTTTTTCCTGGTGTGCTTTATGTGGTTTGGTGTGTGGGTGACACTTGTAAATTTGGTTTAGGAGGAATTTTGCTCTACTTCATTTGCATTTGTAAGTGACACAGTTGTCAACCTTGATAATCCTGAGTGTCGCCTACAACATGATACTTGGGTGGTCTTCTGAACGCTCAGTTAAATTATGTGTACTTTCTTGTTGTATTCATTTGATAACCCTTCATTCAACAGTTGCTGTCCACAAAGAGAAATATCAAAAGATTAGGCGAGTGGAGAAAGCTGGAATTTAAACATGACATTTCTCAACATTTATCTAACCTAAATTTGTAATTTTCATATGTAACACATACATAATACTATATTAAGTCTATGTTGTTTTATAATCAAAGTCACCTTCACTGTAACCTGCTCCCTTCTCCTGTGGAACTCTCCAAGAATTCCAAATCTTGGAATGGCCGTCATTAAAACAAATCGAAAAAAAATATTTACAAAGAAGACCGTCAAAATATTGCTGTGCTTAACGGTGAAGGATGGACAATATTAAATTCATAAATTTAAGAGATGTCTAGAAACAGGTATTTTATTCTATTAAATAATAGAGAAAATCTCCTATATGTTATGAAATCCTTTTTCTTGAGGAAGTGTTTGTTTTACTTGGAGATTACTTAGAGTTATCAAGTCATTTATTAGCATCTGACAATTATTACTTGCTTTAATTTAAGTTTTTCTTTGAGACACTCTCTTTCAAAGAATATTACGTTTTATTCAGGGCAGACAATTTTGAGGGGAATATAAAATTAGTAAATATTTTGTCTTTGATTCTCTTTGTTGCTATACAGTTTGCTGTATGCTTCCAGGAAGCTGATTCAGAAAGGGGATAATGGCTTTAGATATGGCCTTTTTACCAATTCTTGCAGGATAAGATGGATATAATTTGCTTTGAAAGTTTAACTGAGAAAGAAAACAGGGCTGTCTATGAGAAAGAGAGATGGGGCCAGTGGCAAGACAGAGAGAGGTGGTGAACAGTCTGAGCTTCATTTCCCAGAATTTCAAGTGTCTTGGTTATTTAAAAATCCGTGTCCAGATTTATCCTGGGTCCAGGATAAGTGTGAAATACACAGAAAATAGGACTAATCCCCTGAAAACTTGGCTTCCTACCCTCAAGCGGAAGCACTGGTAGCTAAACTATGGTTGACAGGTGTTTGCTTAATCCGTCCATAAGAATCTGCAGTGATGGGCGCTCCACACACTCCCTAGAGAGTCCTGTCTGCCCTTTCCATCCAAAAGCTGGATTCGTCCCTCACAGTATGCCCCAGGAGGCAAATTAAGCTAGTCTCTTCCCTAGACATGAGTGGATGTGTTTATCATAGTGATTTGGGCACAATTCTCACATTTAGAATGGAAAAGAATATATACTTTTTTTTTTTTTTAATTTGGAGGAAAATCGTGGAATGTTCAACTATTAATGAAACAGTAGCATGAAAGAGGAAACATAGCCATGGTATGTGAAGTTTTACTGAAGGTCTGGATGAACAGTGAGAAGATGGGAGAAATTAAAAGGTTGAGTGAGGTTATTTGGTGAGATTGTTTTGCTTGCAATATTTGTTGGGTGTTCAATTCTTATAATTGTTGAGCATGTGGAAAACCTGTATAAAGGTGCTTTCTGAGACTCTGCGTAATGTTTACAGATGCTTAATATGCTTGTGCTATAATATAGAGGGGTTTTACACAGTGTGGGATTACTGGTCATGCCTGGAAAAGAGATGTGACAAATTTATCTGGCTTTCATCTCAGAACTGTCATGAACTTCATAGGGTTTATAATCCCGTAGGACATCAAAACACACAGTCTAAGGTGAGTGTACCAAGGTGGGATAATTGCCAAGAAATTTTGTTATTTTTAACTTAGGGTACATATAGCATATTACATAAATAAGCAGAGTATCCATGTTTAGCACAGTAATTGAGAGTGCAGCACCTGTATCTTCTGATTCTGGCTTGTCAAGTAGGAACACATTCAGAAATTACGGGTGTCTTGCTCAGTCATCAGCATGTCCTCCTTTTTTGCTCCCTTAATTTATAAGGGAGTGACCAGGTTCAGTGTCTCAATGCTGGTTTTGGTCTTCCAAACTGAGTGTGAGTGTAGTTTTGCTGTACGATCATCTTGCCTGGTGGGCAGGTGTTGCCCTCCTGAGCTGCCAGCTCGGAGGTGAGGGGTGCAGTGCAGAACCTGGGAACTCTTGGAGCTCCTGTGTTCACAAAGCAGCGTGTGGATGCGTTAGTGAGCCTAGAGGTACTAGAAGGGAGGCCGGGTTGCCAACAGCCAGGAAGATGGGCCAGCCAGGACAACTCTATACCCTATTTCTGTTGGAAGTGCTGCAGAAATTGGCATGTTCTCCCAGTGTGACTGGATTTTTTCCTGAACAGCAATTCTTCCCAGTAAGCTGTTTGACAGGAAAATTTTGGACTAGCTGTGCTGGAGGGCAAGTGAGGTGCTACATAAACAGCTTATTTTGGAAAATCTTACTTTTACAGACATCTAAATGGTGTACTCTGTATCCTTACTTATGGATTATATGCCAAGAAATGAGTTTAGTTTTTACCATCTTTTCTTATGTAAGGATCATTAGCTGACAGAAGGAATTTTGCCAAAGACAGAACGTTTTAGTTAAAGCTAAGATAACTTTATCAGAAATACTGTTCATTTAACTGAAAATTATTTTGAGCTGAATAAGGGTCCAATCCTGTGTTTTTTACACCTGAAGCAAAACTGAATTCAAGCAGGATTGGAGGGCATAGTTACACTAGCTGCACTGCCAACCCAGTAAGAACATACCAGTTGCACCTTGAGTGCTTTAAGGACGAGCTGAGAAACAAATCATTTGGCCTCTTCAGCCATACACAGTGGAGGGAAATAGACATGTGACATTTATCACTTTTTTCATTAAACTGTAGTATTCTGTTAAATTCTGAAGGGAAATCTGAAGAAAAGATTTTGCCTTCTCTTGGACCTTTCCTTTTGTCTTCTGTTACCATTGATAAGCTTAGGACTCTAAGGACAAGAATGCTAAATTAAACTAAAATCTAATAATAATCTTAATTTAGGTTATTAATGTGCTGAACATGTGACCAATCAATTGTAATCAAATATCGAGTCTTTATAGAAAGGAAGATAAGGAGTCTGACTTGCAATAGGTCAAGTATAAACTAAGAATAAAAACATTTTATCATCTGGAAGTCATAACTGAGAAGCTACTTTCAATTAATTACAATTGATGATAAATTGTATATTTACTGCCTACAGCAAATGAATTAGTTAATTTTTAATTTGCATTTAGATTACTGTTAAGACTTTAAGTCAACATTAGAATAACTTTTACATATATTTTAAGAGAAAAATACGTTTTAAATAAAAATGTTTTGTTAAATGTGCTATGATTTCAGCTTCTCATTGCTGCCTATTTTGAAAATTTATTACATACACTTTTCTGAAAAGAAGCCTGTCCAAGTGGCACAAACTAAAATGCCCAAAGCTATGGCCTAATTACTTGATATTTTGAGTGAGGCACAAGAGTATTTAGTTTGTGATTGGTGATTTTTCTTTTCTTAATATAAAATATTAATGAAGTGTTCTTATTATTTTATAGTTGAAAAATGATTTTTCGCTGGAATGAGATGCTGCTGGAGTAGGGAAGAAATTGGAAATATCAAAGGCTAGTTTAAGGATTATGAGCTATCTTAAGGATTATGAATGTAAACTGATGTATAGAGTTACGTGGCCTTTCCTAGTTGAAGAAATTTGCAATTAAGTCAGAATCTTTCAGTGAAAGCTTTCTAGAACTAAGAATAGAGGGTAGGATTGCTTCCTTTGTATTCTTGAGAAAAAATATTCCATGATTTCAAAGACGCTTGTGTAAGCCATGAGGTTCTAGATGTCAAATGAGCAGCAATAAATAGTGCTTGAAGGAAGTCTGCTAAATAATGGAATGGAAGGAAAAGATGTCAAAACAGATACCCCTGCAAATAGCAGCTGTCAGACACCTGGTTATAAAAATTATGCAAATGTTTGGTGAGGCTTATATTTGCATTACTTGTATGCGAAAGACAACAGCCGCCATGGTTAGCAATCAGAAGAGCCGAAGAGGATTTCAGTGCTATTCTTCTGTGTTTAGGCTTGCAATCACAAAAGCCCACGGACACCCCTTCAAGTGGAGGATGCTGCTG